TATCGTGCGCTATATCAAACATTTTTTCTATCGTTATCGAAGAAGGGGTACCGTCAATAAATATCGATACAGTTTTATCGCCCCGGCCTATGTTTTTGATTTTACACACCTCTTCAGTCTCTGACTATTGATTTTTTTTTTATGTATATTTTGGCGCAATGGGTGGCTGGTGAATAATCTTTTTTTTTTTTTTTTTTTTTTTTCAAGAGTGTGAAGCTTCTTCTTTATTCAGTTTAGCACCTCTGGCTGTTCAGATGGCTCTGCTGTAGCATAATGGCTTTCTTTTGAGGCTGCTGTTAACCCAAGCCAATCAAACGGTCATGCACACCAACTGCAGGCCATTTTAAATGATCGCTGGGAGAATTGTGCTCAAAGAGCTTCACTGCTTTTCCTGTTCTGATTAAAATTAAGATATTTTTGGCCTCCACTTGGATCAGTGCGTTAGACTTCATTGAACTTATACCGAACAAATAAAGTCTGCAGTGTGCTGGTATGTAATGGTTTTAATATTTAAATTTTTGTTTTCTTGCTCATGAAAATCCATTGATTAGTGTGTGCTGAACAGCATATGACCATACCTAAAATTAGTGGCAAAACCACTAGTTATCAGAATGTCATTTTTACAGTAATGTGTGTGGTAGCTGCCTGACTATTTGGAAATGTGGTGGTGGTAAATATTCTACTCCCAGCGCATGTTAATGTGCTCTGGGGTAATAGCTGCTGTTTGAAGAACCGTAGTCTTTCTACGGTTAACTCTCTGTGAGGCTGCATCAGAGTGCCGGCTGTCATCTATGGCAACAAAAAAATGTCTCACTCTCTCACACTGACTCAAAGTTAGATGTCCTCTAAAAAATCCTGTCACCACTACTAACATTCTCTCTTTCTCTCTCTCTCTTTTGTCATCTCCATTTCTCAGGAGGAGCAGAACAGAGGGAAGCCAAACTGGGAGCACCTAAATGAAGACCTGCACGTGCTGATCACAGTGGAGGACACACAGACACGTGCCGAGATCAAGATGAGAAGAGCTGTCGAAGAAGTCAAGAAGCTACTGGTGCCTGCAGTAAGTTGCAAACACGCATTTATACTTACCGAACGTATTTGTGCTAGCGGGAAGTGATTTGCTACAAATGTTTTGACCTCTGAGATCTTCTCTGCAGACCTGCCCGAGGCTTGTGCTTTGTAAGGCAACAGTGTTGGATTTAGCAAAATGCTTTATGCTGCTTCCTGTTCTAGGTGTGTGACGCCTTTGTGCATATGGGCCGGATTTTAATCCAACCCCTGGTTTCAGTCTTCTGCTAAAATTTTATATTTTTATCTCAGGCTCCCAACAGAGAACAAATGGCGCTCTGCAACCCGCTTCCCACATATTTCCGCCCCATTCCACCTTTCTATTCTCCGCTCCTCCGTCGGTTGCCGCAGGGGGTGGGGGCGCTTAACTCAGGGTCTCTGGCTCCAGGCTGTTTTGCCTGCAGTGAACAGAATGGCTGGACAGCTGCAAGAGCCTGTTCCCTATCAGGCGACATGGTGGAAAGGCTTCGACCCACTGAAACCTGGCCAGAAGCAGCCGTTCCGCCCAGCCATGTGCCTCTCGCTTCATTTCAGAGCAGGACACGGAGTCCTTGGCGTTCTCTGACTGCTCTCAGGCGCTCGCTTTCTCCTGTTTCTTTGTGCAGGTTTTTTTTTTTATTTTTCAACTCTCTCTCTAGGCCAGAAACCCCACATTTCGCCTCTTGTTTGGGGATTTTTTTCCCTTCTTTATGCTCATATCTCTTTTGTTCCGTTTGAGCGGGGAGGCCTTAAACCCTCCACACACATACACGAGTACACACACATGCTCGTCAAAGAAAACAAACATACACGGCCGACTGAGTGTGTGTGACTCATTCTGTACAGTGTGTGGGTGGGAGATGAGTAAATGGCTACATGCTCTCTCCAAATTTTCACTCCGACCTTATGCACCCCTGAGATCAAAGTCATCCTCACCGTGTATACACACACAAACTATGCTCAGGCTCTCAGGAGGCCTGTGTTTGCTCTACTCATGTGTTTCATTCAGAGTTACACAACGCTCTTGGTCTTTTATACAAAACTGAAATCTTTCCCAGAAGAGATTGTTTTCATAGTGTAAATGTAACATACTGTACATATTTGTATCTAATCTTTTAATTTACTTAAAGGGATAGTGTACCCAAAAGTGAAAACTGTCATTACACCTTCATCATGAGTTTCTTTGTAAAATAAGATGTTTTTAGCCATGTCTTGACAAGTTTGAATCGATTTGCTTTAATATAAGAGGATGATTTTTAAGTGACACACTGCCTGCTGCAAGTTTGTGGCGCTGTGACCATGACTTGCAATAATAAAACGTCCATGTGATCATGGCATAGGGGTGGGTAAATGATGACAACATTTTCATCTTGGCTGATGTATCCATTTAAGTTTTGCTGTACAGATAAAGCCCCTCTTAAACATGCTGGTTTTGTGTGTGGCAGATGGACTCTAATGCCCTTTATCATGCCATGCTAAACTGGATTAAATGACAAACCGTCCATCTCAGCTCGTGCAGTCTTAATGAAGGATATCTTTGGCTCGTTTAGAGGCATGAAATTGTCTTATTAAATACATCATAAAACAGACGAGGTCACAGTCTGTTTCCCCTCGGCTCTCTTCATTTTGTCATTGTGGAAAGGATTTAATTGGTTAGGGCAGAGAAAAGGGGGACAGTAACGTCTCGGAGCTCTCCGAGAGAGGCTCTCTGTTTTATAAACATCTGCAATATTGATTTTTACCTACCTTGAGAGGCAGCTAGCACATTACAGCATGAATCTGTAATCCTGGCTCGGGCCCTGAAGAGTTGCCACAGCCGAACGGTTCCCGCTCGCAGAGACCAAATTGAAATTTTCAGCCTTGCTCAAGGAATCAGTTCCACACACAGCATTTGAATGATCGTCAGACTCGGAGAGAGTGCATGAACCGTGGGTATGCACGCACACACAGCCTCAGAGGCCAGGGTTAGAACTGGGTGATTGAGAGATTCGGCTCAAAGGCCCTGTGAACTTTTCAACTTCCATCGAGAGACGGAGGAAGGAAGAGACATCGAGAGAGAGATTTGAGTTGAAGGTGGGCTGGTAATGAAGGTAGTAGTGAGTGAGAGGATTAAGGCAGGAACGTAATGGAAGGAAAAAGATAAGAATCGAGCCACACTTTTACATGCGGATCACTTCCCACAGTTCTTCTGCTCCAGTCTCACCCGTCTTTCCACTTACCCATGGCATCGCATACAGCCTTTCTGCTGTCTTGCAGATTTTTTAAATGTATTAATATCTTATAATTTAGTGCTTTTATTTATTTTATTTTGTTATTAATTTAAGTGCTTTTTTAAATAATATAATTTATTGGATATTGGACATAGTTTAATATTGGTGCATCCTTAATTATTTTATGAATACTATGTTTGTAAATAGCATTCATTTTATATTTAAATAATTATGACTCTTATGAAAGCAGCTTTTGATAGAATAAAGAATTTCTTATTTTTTTCTTTTTTTTCATACTTGCACATGTAAGTGTAAAACTGTGCCGGCAAGAGCACAAGCATCATTTTGGTGGAAAAGGCATACCAGATACTGGTCAAACAGTTTCTCTCTCACACCCCTGTCCTCTGTGTACCACTTCACTGGAGGGACACCCTGTCTTTGTTCATGAAAGTGCTGACACACACATGGTGATGTATAAAACTGCAACCTATAAAACACTCAGAAAGCAATGCGTATCTACATATCCATATCTTTTTGAGTTTGACTTATAACATAAAATTCAGATTTAGAGCTTTACACCATGGCCCACCGTCAAATTCAGTTTTATCTGGTTTTGTACATTTACAGCTCAGCAAATGATCCGTAACTTTAGAAGTAAAGCGGTTCGCTCAGTGGGAGCAGAAGGCTCAGGAGGGCTGATGAATCTTTCTGAGATGACAGTTAAAATTAATTGTTTCGAGAAGTGTGAAACAAATCGCTCTCTGTAAGCTGTGACGCTAGTACCCTACTGCTAAACAGACATAGAGGAAGGTGGAGACAAATGCAGGTGTGGATTATGGACTCTGATAAAACACTAATTGTAGTTTGTGAGGTAAAACCTTCTCAAATAAGTTATGCCTTTAAAATCAAACATTTTGTGTGTTTTGTAGTATCTTGCTTCGTGAGCATTGAGTTTAAGATTGTCAAGTTTACACTAGCGCCATTCCGTTGTGCTCTGTCCAGCTATTTCTGAACACAAGATCACATCCTATGTGAATGCCCCTAACAAACGCATCTGTTCTAACTATTCAAAGTTTCCTTAAGATCATTTACAGTCTATTTTAATATAGAACGCACATCCCTGTTATGGTATTAAATGTGGCTTAAGTCTGTGTGTTATGAAGTGCTAAAAATAATTGACTTATTGTTAGAACATGCAGACTGCTTGTTTTTGCCAAATCCACCTGTGACTGAAAATGGTATAGGTTAAAAACTAATCAGCGATCTTACCTCTAAAACTGCATTTGCTAATTTCCATTTTGATATGTGCTGATTGTAGGAGTCGATCAAGCCTTGTGTACTTTTAGTGTACTTGTAACCAACATGATTAGGCAGCGTCACCCATTCCATGTTTGTCAATTTGTCTCTGAATTTGCTTACTTTCCCAGTTTCTCAATGATAAGGCCCAGTTTTTGAAGACCGGGAAAGCTGCAGGATTATAGCAACTGTGCTTACGAGGCTGCTCTAATCTCCAGCAGATTTCGTGACAAGCTCCGATGCTGCAAACAGAGATGCGTTGTAGTCTGGGGACACGTCTACATATCAGATCCCTGTTAATTTAATTTAATGGTTTATACACCAGCCCATTTGGAGATGATCAGAGAGAATAAAACAGTGTGATTCCTTCCGATGAAGCAATTAGCCTCAGATGTGTTAAAAACCTGACAAATTGGTTTTCTCATTAGGGGTGCTAAACTTAGAAGAGCTGACGCCCGTGATGGGTGTTGTGGATTTAGATGTTTAGAAGATGCAGTGTGTCATAATTGCCAAGAGAGATTCTGTGCTACAAGGTGACATTCCTCATTTCACCTCGAGGTGTGTGTTTGAGAGAGAGAATCCATCTAACAGACAGCAGCAAGTCATTTTTAATGATTGACAGTAGATCTGTTGGTATGTGAGGTCAGTGTTACATACCAACCAAGTGTCCACTGCTCCGGGTGTGTGTTCACGGTGTGTGTGTGTGTGTTCACTGCTGTGTGTGTGCACTTTGGATGGGATAAATGCAGAGCACTAATTCCGAGTATGGGTCACCATACTTGGCCACATGTCACGTCACTTGTCACAGTGTTAATCCTGCAGTCACTACATTCTCAGAGGCCCAGTGAAAGGCCTTCTGGGAAAATACTAGATATTCACCCTAAATACCCCCTCGCTATGAATGGTACGTTATATCCACAAAACCATACTTTAGCATGTCTGTTCCCAGTTGGCATCAGCGCACTAGGGAATGATGGGAAATAGAAGCTCACACCTATGACATCTCATTAAGAATCTAGGCCACTATGTGTCCATTCCCTTTACCTCGGCTAATTAAAGTGGCGTGTCAAAATATTTTTCTGGTTATTTTAGTGTCAGCGCACTGGGTCGGCCGTCGACAGGAGCGAGCAAAGGTTTAAAATCGTAACGGTGGACGAATACCTTTTTTAAATTCAGTACGGTACTGCTAATAGTTTCTTTTGTGGATGCCCTTGGCTATAAGGAACATGTAGCATTTCGGTCTCTCTTTGTGTTCGGTTTTTGTCAGGAGGCACTTCCTGCTAGATTGTGGCATATCTGTAGTAACTCTTTTGCCTCCAGAGCTCAGTGGCTTTGGAGCTTTACGTGGGTGAGTATAGTAGCTGTAGCCCAGCAGTCTGGCCCTTTCCTTTATTCCTTCCTTTCTTATTGCTTTCCTTTTTTTCCAGCATTTCGTTTCAACTCCGCTTGCGCTTGTAGGCAGAAATCGACTAGAGAGCCAACTTGCTGCTCCCTGTGTCCTCCACGA